TCTCTCTCTCTCTCTCTCTCTCTCTCTCTCTCTCTCTCTCTCTCTCTCTCTCTCGCAACAAATAGGATGTATGCTATTAGAAGTCCATTAACATTTTACTAGTTCTTATCAAGTTAAGGATCCTAGATTATTATTCATTCATCTACCATTCATTTATTGAATTACTAGCTACTCAGCTAGGCATTAGGGAAATGATAGTTAATGGATAGCAGCTAGTATTAACTGAGTGCTTACACTGTTCTAAGCACTTTACATGTGTTGTCTCATTTACAGGTCCTTGAGCTAGACACTGTTAGTATTAGTATTTAATAAATATGGAAACTGAGGCACAAAGAGGTTAAACAACTTGCCTAAGGTCACACAACTAGGAAGTGGTAGAGCTGGGATTCAGATTTAGGCAGACTGACTTTAGGGCCCTTTCTCTTAACTACTATGCTATGCCACTTCTCTGCAATATAGAGAATTGGTTAAGACAAAGTCCTTGCCCTAAAAATTTATGGTCTGATATATGTAGTGAATTATGATTAAAATATATATCACATGGAACTTTTTTGCTTGAAAGAAAAGAGGAAGTAGACATTTCAAGTCTTACAGCTCAAAAGCACTTGAAGCTTAGGGAAACATAATGACTTGCCCATGGTAATCTATTAAATTTGTCTGATTCAGGACAATAATCTGGTCTACTGTTTTTTTCACCTCAATATGCTGAATTTTGTTTTATAATGATAAATATCACATAATGAAAATAAAGTAACTTCTGGGTTGAAATCTTGAGAATTAAATACATAATCTCTTCATTGAATTTAGAAATTAACTTGTATTCTAAGCATGATTATAATGAAGATAACCAGTTGAAATGCTAGTTCTGTCTTTCTAAACATTTTTTTTTTTTTTTATCTAAACATTTTTTAAAGCACTGATTATCTACCATGTGCCAGGCTTAAGGGATAGGGTGTTTGTAATCATTATCTCTGTCATAAACAACAATCCTAAAAGACAGATACTATTATTTGCATTTAATAGATATAGATAGTGAGACTCAAAGAGGTTAAGTAATTGGCCCAAAGTCATGCATCCAGTAATTGGCAATATTGGGACACAAATTCCAAATCTAACTCCCAATATACTTTATTTACTCTGTGCCAAATTGCTTCCCAAAAAGTAGGTATTTATTTTCAGAAATGAGATAGTTCTAGGCCCTCAATAGGAACTATCTTCTTAAGCTTTTTTCCCAGTATTTTGTTTCATCTTGTACCCTTGTCTCTTTTGTTTCTTTGCTTTACTCTCTAGCTATAGAAGAAAGAAAACCAGCTGAGGTTCTCATTGTTGAAGGACAACAATATGCTGTTGTTGGGTGAGTGACACATTTTTCTTTGTTATTTGAGTCAATTATTTAAAACGTAAGTCTTCTGGTTCCCCCTTGAAGTGAGTTGGAAATTTTGGATTAACAATTTTAAATCTTATCAGAAATTTAAAGGAAATGTTATGGATTTATTTTATTTTCTATGATCTGTAGTATGCTTTATCCATTAAGGACTACACTGACTTAACACAAAGGGCTTGATTTTTTTTCATGTAACAAGATATCTAGACAGTCTAAGAGTGATATAAATGGATGCATGATGTTATTTACTATCCCTAGGTCTTTCTGTCTTTTTTCCTATAGCTTTCTTAGTGTGCAGTATAGCATAGTAGTTTAAGTTGTGGGCTCTGGAGCCCACAAAATATAGAAAATAGTACTGTATGTAGAATTACTGTGAAAATTAAACAGGTAATGCGTATAAAGCATTTAGCACAGTTCTAGCACCTAATAAGTTGACAGTTATAGGTAGCTATTTTCATCATGATCATTCGAATCATTAGGTTTTTTTCCTCTTTTACCAATGAAACTATCTCAAATTAAAGTTAACTAAGAAGCATACCAACAATCCCATTGTTGTTTGGTACATGCCTTGTATTTAATTGGTAATTAAAAGAATACCTTCATATTTTTTAACAGCACTTCACAGTTTAAATATTTTCATGTACATATGATCTCATTTGATCTTTACAAAACTTTGTAAAATAGACATATCAGGGATTGTTTCTGCAGTTAAGAGAATTGAAGCTTAGAAGGTTAAGTGATTAACATAAAGTGACCCAAATGTAGTCAGAGTTAGAATCTAGTTCTAATTCTCGATATCTAGACAAGCATTCTTTTTCACTTTTATTCTTTGCTGCTTGTCACTGTCTAAGCCTTTTTTGAAGTAGCCACCTGGTCCAGGAAGAATGTAACTCTATGTCCCTCTATCATGGCATTTACTGAGGTATAATAGAATTATTTATTTATGTATGTATCTCCCTAGTTTGAGTTCTTCAAAGTGTGTCAAAGAGTCTATCTTACCATTTTTTATTTTTATTGGCACCATAGTAAGTATTCTAAAAGTATGTATAGAATTAATGCTTTTTCTCAATTGTATTTAAGTCTACAAAGTCTGCCCATTCTAAACTAAGTCCCCATAGTTCTGGTATGCAAAGATTTTTACAGCCTCCCCTGTAATCTCATCCCTTCAATCTAATTTTGTTTTCCCTTCTTACCTACCCATTTTCTGTTTGCTCTTCATGTGCTTGATGGAAATGGTCTCCTCTGGCTATCTTGCTTTCTAGCTTTTTAGTCAAACAGTCTGTTGTCAAAAAACCAAACTCCTTGGCTAAACAGGGACTATTGCAACTTCTGAGAGAAGATTGCAAAAAATAAGCGATGGATTCATGCCCAGTAAAGCAGACTATAGGAGTATGCATACAGAGTAATATATGGTCTGACAAACTGTTACAAAGGCTACACACTATCTTTCTTGAATCACTAGTTCCTGATATCCTTCAGAGTTTTATTATATAAACCATTATTTTATATAGCTCTCTTATTTCTGAGCCTCTCGTTGAACTTAGTGAATAGATCTTTTCCCCTTAATTTCAATCTTATTTAACCTCTCGGTAGTGTGTCTTTTTAACTTGTGACATGTATTGCTATTAAGCTAATAACTTTTATCATCTTTGGAAAACCTTTTGTGACCTACAATAAAATTCTTAGGAGATATGTTGTCTTTTGAAGCCATTGTAGCTTCTTTCTCATCTCACTAAGAAAATCTGGACTAGGTTCCCTTCATTAATACTTATGAATGAGGACCTACTATGTAGGTAAACAGAAACACTGGGTAGGCTTTTTGTCAGTGTTTCCAAAATGGCCAAGGAATGAAATACCTGCCTTACTGAAGAGACTTCTTAATGAGAATGCCATACAGAGACTGCTATGCCTACAGCACAAAATTTAAGGAGCTACTACTCATTCTCAGTGTCATTCAAGTGCTGATCCTGCAACTCTCAGTAAATGCCTCCTTAAATTTTCCACCCCAGGCACCTCTCTTGCCTCACTCTAATCCAGAACCTGCTGCACTTGTGAATGAAACACATAATTTAACATTTACTAAGATCATTATATCCTCAGAGGTCCATTGTACTGGTAATTTGATTTTTATTAATATATTGCCAGATAAGTTTGATTTTCTTGTTTCAATTGCCTACTATCTTTCTTTTCTTATAGAACTGTATTGCTGTTAATAAGAATTATCCTTGAATATTGCCAGTGTGTGGATAACATCCCATCCGTTACTACTGACATGCTTACTCGTCTGTCAGATTTATTGAAGGTGTGTATGACTTTACCCCATTATAGAGAAATAGTTGGAAGAATTAATTGATTAAGGTGTGACTAATCTTTCAACTGTAAGACATTTCAAGGTCAAGTTATCTTTAAGACATTAGTTTTATAACATTTGATTGTGGTTGAATCACAACATGTTACTGGAAAAAAGCTGCCTGCTTCCTTCTCACTCCACATTTAGTGATTCCTCATTACACCCATAGAGTTGTTAATGACATTGGAGACAGGAGATGATTTGTTCGTTAGGTGCTGAACATGACTGAGGCCACTTAGGTCAAAAAACCTGGACTGGTTTCAAATGTGCATGGAAGGAATTCACTGAACTTTACAAAATTCATCTCACTAAGGTTAGAGATTTTTCTTGCATCATTCTTTCAGAACCATTGATATAAAATGAAAATGTGGTGATAATTTTATTCAGCCATTTTATATTAAGAGATATTTTTAACTGCTAGTTTAGAGGAAAGGCTTTAATTTTTTCAAACCTCAAATCTATCAGTTAATTCTGTTCTGAACTTGAGTTGTCATGTTTTAGTCGAGAAAGATTTTTGAAACTCTTTAAAACAGGACTTTCCAATAAGAACGACTGAAACTGAACTAGTTTTGTGAATACAAGTTAAAGATTAATTTTTTAAAATAGATTTTTAGAATTTCTCAACTTTTTTCCTATCAGACAATAAATATTATCATTTAGAATTCCCCTCCCCTCCTTTTTTTGTCATTATATAAGTAGATCCTAATTGCTTCTACTAGAAAATTTATTTGGTCCTTGAATGAGAGGAAAGAGGAATGTATTTTTAAAAAGCACATTGCCAGCATATAAAGAATAGTTTTTAATGAATTTTTGGGGTTTTTTTTCTCATTCCTTTGTTAGTACTTCAATTCAAGAAGTTGCCAATTAGTTCTTGGAGCTGGTGCACTGCAAGTTGTTGGACTAAAAACAATAACTACAAAAAATTTGGGTATGGATTCTTGCATTTAATTCACATGCTGAGGTGTTACAATGATGTCACTGTACTCATTGTGTTTTTATTATATCTGATGTTTTCATGGTTCTAATCAAAGGCTCTGAAAGTGGCAAATGCCACTTACTCTTTTATGTATTATCATAGTAGAAAAACTAACCTTGGGGAAAATGTTTTGAGTAATTTCCACTTTAATAAGTGTAAGTTATTTGGAAGTTGTACCACTCTAGAAAATGTTAAGATGTAATGTATGTGAGTACTTTGGGGTGAAAGGTATCTGAATGTCAGAAGAGGATCAGTTGTCCCATTATCGTCTTCACACTGGTAATGCTCACAACTTCAGTCCATTGTGAAAGCAGCATGGTCATTACATTACTCAGTACCAATTTATTTTTTTATGCAAAATGAAATGTGTTGCCTTCTGCCACAGTGTTCTTCATTTATGAAATAAACAATCTGTATAAAATTGACATTTTTTACTTAATTTGATTTGTAATTGAAATCAACTAATATCTTTTTTTATTTCTTCATTATATATCTACTTCCTGGGTGTTTAGCTCTGTCTTCACGATGTTTGCAGTTAATTGTGCACTACATTCCTGTGATCCGGGGTCATTTTGAAGCTCGACTACCACCTAAGCAATATAGCATGCTTAGGCATTTTGATCATATCACTAAGGTACTTTTTCATATGTTTTCTATCGAAGTTTCATAAGTTTAGTTCCTCAATTGTTAAGTATTTTTTAGATGTATCCCAGGGACTTTAAAATACAATATTATTTCTCATTACAGGACTACCATGACCACATAGCTGAAATATCAGCTAAGCTTGTAGCGATAATGGATAGCTTATTTGACAAGCTGTTATCTAAGGTAATGATTTATAGAAATTATTAGGCTTTGCTTAAAGGCATTATGACTTTCCATTTTATAGAGAATCCTTTATAAGTAAGATGTGATAAGAGAATCTAAATTTTCAGAGGATGTTTACCAAGTGGTAAAATTTTTGAATTTTTTTCAGGAAAATGTGAATATCTGCTGTAGTCAGGGCCACCCATAGTGATCTAACCCACAGTTGTCTAACAACTGAAATTCTTCAGAGTTCAGAAAACAACTCAATAAAATTTTTAGATTTCCCACATAGTCGATAATCATTTTCTACGGAGTTGGGGGGAGTAGAGGAGATGATTCTAAGATGGTAGAAACCCTACACAGAAGTATTCTTATGTTAATTACTTTCAATATTCATTTCTTATGTTCTTTTCATCCCTAATATGTCATTAAGCAAAGCACTTTCCCCAAAGAATTCTGAATTATACTGGGAGGGTATCTTCAGAAAACTGTCATTTAATCAGCCTCAATCATTTTTACCCTATCCCTCACTCTTTTCCTTTCCCTAAGTTCTTCAGTTCATGTCTCAGGGAGAAAGCAGAAATTTCCTAACTTAAAAGTTTGAAAGTTTATTCAGTTATGCCTTTTGCCCAAGATCGTATTTGGAGTAACCTTACTAAGCAAGGAGCTTTGATTTGCTTTTACTCCTACTTGTATCTTTCAGATTCAGAAATGGCAGGAACAGCAGGCATATAAGAATCAAAAGGGCAAGATAAAGTGGTGCCCATTCACTCACATAGACACATGCCCAAACCTTTGAGGATGACAGTGAGAAGGGAGTGCTTAGAAAATAATATTGCATTTGTTTTATAGTTCTGAAGTTTTAGTCACAGGACCATTTATATTCTTAAAAATAGTTGAGGACCCCAAAGAGCTTTTGTTTATGTACCTTATGTTTATCAGTGAGTACCATATTAGAAATCAAAACTAAGAATTTTTAAAACATAAGAATACACAAACACACATTCTGTTAGCCTTCAGAATGGTGACTTCATCACAAATCACTTGAAAATCCCCACTGTTCAATCATGAGAGAATGAGAGTAAAAAAGATAAATAACATCTTAGTATTATTATGAAAATAGTTTTTATTTCCCAGATTGCTTGAAAAGGTCTCTTAACTCCCTGGGGTCCCCAGATCACACTCTGAGAAACTCTGGTATAGTTGATAATATAGATGTTTTATGCTTCACTTTTAAGAAGCTTAAGGAATTTATAATTACATGCAAACATACCTATACTATGTTATGCCTATTAGTTTCTAGTTTTGTATGGAGAAAATTATTGTTTAGAAATTCTCTATTTTCTTCATGAGTGCCAAGTACAAGCTAAATTCAAAAGAAATTCTATTCTACCAGTTTCCTTTTTGATATACAGCATTCTTCTGTATACTGAAAGTCAATAACACATTGTGTCTGCTCTCAAAAAGTTTACCATCTAATAAGGCAGAAGATTGTAAACAGCTAACAGTGTAGGATAGAGTAAATGTTAAATAGTAGAACTAGAGATGAAGTGGAATATAATTAAGCAAAATCAAAAATATGCCAGGACTTTTCAAACTCTGATTTTAATTTGTCATTTTGGTCATCCACAGAGTTTTTGAACAAGAATTGGAACAGTGGCTAAACTTTTTCCTGCGACATCTTATTTTATTCTTTTTTCTGTAAGGAAAGAGAATTCTTTAATGAGGTTCCCATATATTCTTCACCTATACTTAACAGTTATTTACAATTTGCTTTTTCTTGCTAAAATATTGTATAATAAATTTGAAGTATTATGGTGTTTCATCCCTAAATACTTAAGTATGCATTTTTAAAAACTAAGAACACATTCTTACATAACCATGTTACCATTATCACATGTAATAAAATTAACAAAAATTCCTTAATATCATCATCTAATATCTATTCTTCTATTTGAAACTTACTAATTGTCTCAATGTCTTTTTACAGTAATTTGTTTGGACAAAGGCTTCTACATGGTCCACATAGTGCATTTAGTTATTATGTCTCTTAAGTCTTTTGTAAACTAGAAAACCCTCCTCTCCATTTCTTTTTAAAGATGTTACTGACTTGTTGAAGAACATGGCCAGACTTTATAACATAGTGTTCTCTCTGCTGTCTTCCCTGTTGATGACCTTTCCTGTTACCCTGCCATGTTACATTCAAGTCTCTCTTTACCACTCCCTGTCCTATTTGCTTTCATGTGTTGCACAGGAGTTTGACCCTGTTTTTAATTCATACCAAAATAGCAGACAGTGTTTGGTTTACATTTGCCTTTCAGTTTTTAGCTTTTCATTTTCTTATCTGAAAATTTAATTTTAGGAAAGAAGGATGACACAGTAATATAATAACAGCTCATTCTAAGAAACTAATAAGAGAACCATTGGTTGGGTACAATGAAACATTAATATCTAATTATGCTACTAGCTAGACTAATGTCCCAGCCACCATTCATTTATTCATTCATTCTGTAAGTTATGTGCAAACCATTGTGTTAGGCAACAGAGGGATACACAAGGGGCCTTGGAACTTGTCCTCAAATAGGGAAGTAGATCAATAGCTACAACAGGAGATAGAATATATAAAGTGTGTAAATAAGGAACTGATTTAGTGCATTAGAGCTTTTAATGCTTTGGAAGAGATGGTCACCAGCTGGAGAGAAAAATTTGGAAAAACTTTATAGATGGACATGCATGTAAGTTTTGCTTTTAAAGGTAAATAAGATTAGGGCAAATGAAGTTGAGGTAAAGAGACCTCTGAGATAACAGCATGAGCAAACATGCTGGTGGAAATCACAAGAAGGTAATCCAGCGTCAGGATTTTAGAGTCAGGTAGACCTAAATTCAAATCCCTTGTTTGTTACATATTAGCCACTGAAGGACCTTGGGCAAATTATTAATCTCCTTAAGCCTCAGTTTCTAGCTCTAAATGGGGATAGTAGTAGAGTCTGCATCATAAAAGTTGTATTTAGAATTGATGAGGTAATATATGTCTGACTATAGCAAGTTCTAGTAAATATTGACTGCTAATGCTTTTGCTATTGTGGTTATTAATGAGAAAGATAATAGTTCCCATTTGGCTAATACATTAGGGTAGGTGAACACAGGAGTGAGAGATATGGTGGAAAGATAGTGGAGAGCTATGACTACCAGCAGAAAGCTAAGTAATTTAAATCAGGTTTATTGAGGTATAATTTACATTCAGTAAAATTTATCCTTCCTAAGTATATGGTTTGATGACTTTAACAAATATATAGAATAGTGGAATACCACAATCAAATTATAGAACGTCACTGGTAAACATTCTCTTAGGCAACTTTTGTAGTCAGTCCTCTTCCCATACCCAGCCTCTGAAAACTATTGATCTGATTTTTGTCCATATAGTTTTGCCTTTTCCAGAATGTCCTTGAAATGAAATCATACAGAATATAGCCTATTGTGCCAGACTGTCTCCCTCCCTCCCTCCTTCGCTTGCTCCCTTCCTTCCTTCCATCCCTCCCTCCCTCTTTTTCTCTTTTTCTCTCTTTCTTTCTTTTTTTTGTGACAGGATCTCACTCTGTTGCCCAGGCTAAAGTACAGTGGCATCATCATAGCTCACTGTTGCCTCAAACTCCTGGGCTCAAGTGATCCTCTTGCCTCAGCCTCCTGCGTAGCTAGGACCATAGGAGCCCACCACCGCTCCTGGCTAATTTTTTTATTTTTTGTAGAGACAGAGTTTAAGTTTGTTGCTCAGACTGGTCTCAAACTCCTATCATCAGGCTGATCCTCCCACCTCAGCCTTCCAAAGTGCTAGGATTACAGGTATGAGCCACCGTGCCTGGCCTGTTTTTTGACTTTTTATTGATGGCCATTCTGACAGGTAAGGTGGTATCACATTGTAGTTTTAATTTGCATTTCCCTGAAGATTAGTGACATTGAGCATTTTTCCATGTTTGTTGGCCATTTGTCTATCTTCTTTTCAAAAAATTCTGTTCATATCTTTTGCCCACTTTTTGATGGGGTTGTTTGTTTTTTTCTTGCTGTTTTGAGTTTTTTATAGATTCTGGATATTAGTCTTTTGTCAGACGTAGAGTTTGCAGATATTTTCTCCCATTCTATAAGTTGTCTATTTACTCTGTTGATTATTTTCTTTGCTGTGCAGAAGCTTTTCAATTTAATTAAGTCCCATTTATTTATTTTTGTTGTTGTATTTGCCTTTGAGGCCTTAGTCATAAATTCTTTGCCTAGACCAGTATCTGAAGAATTTTTCTTATATTCTCTTCTAGAATTTTTATAGTTTGATGCCTTAGATGTAAGTTTTTAATCCATCTTGCATCTTGAATTAATTTTTGCATATGGCAAGAAATAGAAATCCTGCTTCATTCTTCTACATATGGCTATCCAGTTTTTCCAGCACCATCACTTTTCAGCCTTTTGGCTAAAATCAAGTGCAATTTTCCTAGCACCGTTTATTGAACAGGACGTCTTTTCCCCAGTATATGTTTTTGTCTGCTTTGTTGAAAATTTCTGTGTTTTCTCTCATGTTCCATTGGTCTATGTCTCTACTTTTATACCAGTGCCATGCTGTTTTGGTTATTATAGCCTTGTAGTATAATTTGAAGTCAAGTAATGTGATACGTGCTGATTTGTTCTTTTAGTTAGGATTGCTTTGACTATTTGGCTCTTTTTGGTTCCATGTGAAGCTTAGGATTATTTTTTCTAGATCTGTGAAATATAACATTGGTATTTTGATGGGAATTGCATTGAATCTGTAAATCACTTTGGGCAATATGGACATTATTGTATGCTTTTTAATGTTAGTCTCCCAGTAGATGTGTATGTAGTGATATCTCATTGTGGTTTTAATTTACACAATTACAAATCTGTTGAGCATCTTTTAGTATGCTTGTCTGTCATCCATATCTTTTCTTGCATGCAGTGTTCAAATTTTTGCTCATTTTTAAAAATTGGGTTGTTTATCATCTTCTTATGAGAGTTCTTGG